TATGATATCCTCTTAGCTTCTTCTAATTTTTAACTAGTAGAAATACTTCTTCAGGGCCCCTCCTTGTATATATTCATCTTTGAACTCCTGGGAAAGTGTGGATCATAAATTCCTCATGAAAAATCACTGGGTCAAAGGTCCTGTGGAAGGATTTTATTTTTCTTTTAATTTAATTTTATTTAATTTTATTTAATTTTATTTTGTTTTATTTTATTTTATTTTTGGGTTTTTCAAGACAGGGCTTCTCTGGCTATCCTGGAACTCACTCTGTAGACCAGGCTGGCCTCAAACTCAGAAATCCGCCTGCCTCTGCCTCCCAAGTGCTGGGATTAAAGGCGTGCGCCACCACTGCCCGGCTGACTGTGCTGCTTTATTTTCCTTTTAATTAATAACGTTCCATGGATGAATATGCCCTAACTTATCTATTCATAGCTGACATTTTAAACTCTGAGTCAAATCTGTTTTCCAAGCAGAGAACTTGAGAGAAGGAGCTAGCCTGGGGAATTTTGCATATGTCCTTCTGAGCCCAGGCCAGGTCTTCTCACCCCCTTCACTGAACTGACAAATTTAGTCTCTGCTCAGTCCACATGCACCAGGCTTCCTCAGACTCACGGATCAGCCCACTTCTGCCTCCAGACGGCTGGGACTGAACCCATGTGTGGCGGCACCATTCCCGACAACAGCAATTTTTTTGTGCAGACCAAGATGGTGACAATGTCTCAGAGAAGGGTCCTGCACATTCCCTGCATACTCTCAGAACTCAGACTTCATATTGAGAGGGTCCGGTGGAACAGAATGCAGTCATGTTGGGGCAGAGGGCAGCTGCTGTGTCAAGGTGAGGGACAGCGAGGTTAGTGGTGACTTCTAAGACAGGTAATGCTGTATCCATCAAGCCACAAGTCAGACAGGAAGTCAGCAGCAAGCAGACAAGCAGACAAGCCAGTGCCAACCTGGACAGCAAGGATGGAGCCAGGGGCCAAGCGAGTTCAAGAACCTGGGCATTGTTGGTAGCAGTGGAAACTGAAGGAACCCACTAGGAGCCTGCAGGAGCAGAGAGGCGAGCTTGATCAGTGGCAGCTTCCTGCCCCACCCAAGCAGTGAGAACTGACTCAGTCCAGCGGAGGCCCCTGGACAACGAATGTACTTGGGATACAACTCTGAAGGCACCCAGTTTACAGACTCCAAAACCCAGTGTGAGCTGGGACAGTCAATCCAACAAGCGATTGTTGTAGCAGACAAGAACTGAGTGCAACAGGCACACCTTTGGGAGGTTCACAGTCCGGTGCAGCAGTTGCACACTGGGCAGCTCACACTTGCACGTGATGGTGCACAGAACGCAGCTGGGCTGGGAGATGGCTCCACAGGTAAAGAAAAAAAAAAAACTTGTCTTGCAAGCTTAGTGACCTCAGTTTAGTCCCTGCAACCCACGCAACGGAGTCCAGAACTGACTCTGCAAAGTTGCCCCCGACCACCAAGTGTACACCACCATCGTCTGTGCTTCCCCACAATGACAATAAATATAACATTAAAAAATACAACTGACGGCCAGGTGGTGGTGGTGCACACCTTTAATCCCAGCACTCAGGAGGCAGAGGCAGGCGGATCTCTGTCAGTTTGAGGCCAGCCTGGTCTACAGAGGGAGCTCCAAAACAGCTAAGGCTACACAGAAAAGCCCTGTCTTGAAAAACCAAACAAAACAAAAACAAAAAGAACCCTGCCATTCCCAGTGATCCTGTGTGTTAGACAATTTCTCTGTTTGAAATTTTAAAAATTGATACTGTGTGTGTGGATGGTGTGTATGTGCATAAGTGTGTGTTTGCAGAGGTCAGAGAACAAACCCATGGAACTTTCCCCTATTTTCTGACCACTTTGCTGGCCCTCCGTTTGGGACTAAGGACTAGGAAGCTCAGAGAGGGTCAGCAGCTCACTCAGGCAGAGCCAGCCGCAGTAGGTCCAGGTTGCAATCTCCTTCTCACTGTCTGAAGCCCACTCTTCTGAATGCTGCTCCGTAAAAATGGAAACTGTTTAAAACCAGCACTCAGGAGGCAGAGGCAGGCAGATCTCCGAGTTCAAGGCCAGCTTGATGTACAGAGTGAGTTCCAGGACAGCCAGGGCTATACAGAGAAACCCTGTCTCTAAAAACAAACAAACAAACAAACAAAACAAAACAAAAAAACAAACAAAACCCCAGAAACTGTTTCTGCGTCCCAATCCAGCCACAGGCCTTAAGAAAGCAGGCAGCAAAAGTTCGCTGAGTGGGCGACTCACTTGAAGCCACTTTAATTCTTATACTCCTGTCTGTGCACGTTTGTGACATTTTGACTTCACTGCATAAGCCCATGGGAGAAGTCTATTTCCTTCCTTCCAAACTGAACTTGAAATAGGACAGTTTTATGTTTCTGATCTCACTTCATTCCCAAACTATGAACTCCTGAGACAGAGATTTTACCCAGCAACACCTTAGCCTAATAAAGCTAATTATTGAATACTAATAATACAAAGCATTCAAAAACTGGAAGCCTGAACAAGTGAGGGGCAACTTGCCTGCATCAGTCACTCTTCTCCTTGGTGTGACCGAATTCCTGACAATAGCAACTGAAGGGGAAAGGAGAGGTCACACTGGCTCCCAGTTCCAAGGTGCATAGCCTATCCTGGCATGACAGGCATGGCCCTGAGAGATCAAGGCGGCTGGTCCCACTGCATGCACGGAAGCAAGCACAGAAGATGGGTGTGGGGGCTTAGCTCACCTTCTCTCTGTTCCTTAGCTTAAGACCCCATCTCGTGGAGTGGTACTGCCCACATTTGGAGTGTGTCCTCTCTCTCCTGCTGAAGCTTCCTAGACACACCCTCATGGGAGCACATGGAGGCGTGTTTCTATGGTGGTTATATAATTTGTTTATTTTTATTTTATGTACATTTGTATTGCAGGCATGTCTGTATGAGGGTATCAGATCCCTGGAATGAGAGTTACACAGTTGTGAGCTGTCATGGGGGTGCTGGGAACTGAACTCAGGTCCTGTGGAAGAGCAGTCAGTGCTCTTGAGCACTGAGCTAGCTCTCCAGCCCTCCATGGTGATTCTGAATTCCATCAAGTTGCCAATGACCACGAACCCACTCTGGCTGTGCTGTATTAGACGGTGTGAGGAGGGGATGAGGTCATTCAGGCTGGGCTGGACGCGGCTGGTTAATTCTTTTCTGCGTTAGTACAGCGCTTGCCTCGTTTGATGTTCTCACAGGGACTGGGGATGAGGCTCTGTTGGTAGAGTGCTTGTCTAGCATGCATGATACTCTAGGCTCAGTCCCTAGCACCACATAAACTAGGCATGGTGGCACACATTCGTAGTCCCAGGACTTATATATAATTACATCAAGGCAGAATCAGAAGTTCAAGGAAAGCCTAAGACCCTGTCTCAAAAAAAAAAAAAAAGGTATTTTTTTCTAAAAAATTAAAGGAATGGTAAATTTTTTTTATCACTCTTGTCCTCGTTTTCACTTGTTTTTACATTGAGTTATTTTATGTGGAAGTGGGTACGTGGGCTGCAGCACTCATGTGGCCAAAGAACAACTTTCAGGAGTCCACCATGTAGAACAACTCTGTTTCCACCAAGTAGGTTCTGGGAATTGATCTCAGAACATTAGGCTGGCAGCAAGCCCCCTTCTCTGCTGAGCCATGTTACGGCCCTTGCTCTAGTTTTAATAATAAACCCCTATCCATTCTGCGTAGTTCCAGCGCCTGGAGAGAGATTACTACATTCTGGGGATCCTCCAAATCCAAGGAATGTCAGTATGTCTACCCAGTGCTCATGTCTCCAGAGAATAGACATTTCAGTTCCAAGAAACTGCACCGTATAAACACAGTCATAAACACGGCCACAAAGGAACGGAAGCAAACCAAACCACTCTAAGGGAGGCCTGAGTCCTCATAAACGGTCAAGAGCATTTCTAAACAAACACAAAGAGAATCGCACCTGCTCCAGAGCCTGCCAAGAGAATAGAAAGCAAATCCAAGAAAGTCAGACTGGCGCCCATAGTACCTGCTAGGGCCAAGCAGGAAGCTTGCTGAGTGAGGGGAGAAGCAAGATTAGCGGGTGGGGGGCAACCTGCCTGCATGCCCCATGGGAAACACTCAGGTAGGTTATGTAAATCACCATCAGAGATGGAAAACACTTGGCTTTTATTGAGTGATCACCAGCACAGGACACATTAGCCAATCACTCCCTTCAGCAGCCCAGTGGGTTGGGGGGTTGCTAAGGTAAAGCTGTCAATACAATCCCTGAAGTGAGGGCAGGGTGTTCAGAGGTTAGTGGCCAAGTGTCTGCCTGTCCCTTCTGTTAAAGCGGAAGTGCTCAGCAGTCAACTAGAAAAAAGGTTCAAGTTTTCTGAGCCATCTCAGACTTACTGAAAAAAAAATCTGTATTTTATGTTGATTTTTTACTTCTGTGTTAAAAATATTAGTTTTTTTTTTTAATGCACTCTGAATTCACACTCGGGATGGATCATAAAAAAAAATGCAAGTGCAAAATAATCCAGGACCTCCTGGTGGCTTATTATCCAAATTGCTTTCACTGGATCCCCGTTCTCCTAGACCCACAGGCAAAGTTTGGAACCCAGATCTCTGGGTCTCTGGAGTCAGTGTTCCCCTGATCTGTCTTCAGCCTTTGACTCTGGGTCAATCCTCAAACGCTTTGAGTTAACTCCATTCCTTGTCTTTGGTGCCATAGCGTGGCATGTCTAGTCACCCAAGGAATGTAGCCAAAAGGGGCCAGCCGCCTGCATTTGGGGCTCAGAACAAATAGCAGCAGTCACAGCATACCACAGAGTTCTGGAGGTGCTGAGAGGCCTGCCACAGGCTTGCTGTCTACTTTCTATTAGCAGAATAATGTTGGCCCAGGCAGAAGAGGATTCAGGGATGTGATGGCTAAGGTGTCTTGAATGTGGATCTAAGACCATCCTGATGGTTCCCAGATTCTGAATCCTATTCTTGAATCTTCCTTCTCCAGCATCGAGCCCCGGTACCACCATCCTGATCTCCGAACTCTGGTGTTGACCACAGGAAAACGCCTTTGCTTGTTCTTGGCAACCGTCCACCACACAAAGACAAAAATAGGTCAGTGCACCTCTCCCGAGTTCTCTGCTTTCACTGATGAGAAACAAACACCCGTTTGGTTTACTTTCCCTTCCAATATCCAGGAAACCTCTTGACAGAGAGATTGGGGTTGGGGGTTAGTGAAGCTAAGAGTTTAAGTTTTGAAACCTAAACTATCTGACAGGCCCTGTGAAGTACTGAAAGCCAAGAGCTCTGTGGTCCAGTCAAAACTCTTGCACTTTGTGCCTTAGTCACTAAACATAGCTCAGCGTTTATTTATTCTGGTATCTTAGATGCAAACAGAGGAACAACAGCGAGGTAGGTTTTTGCTCCACGCAAGAGAGAAGTCTCTAACAGAGCTTCCCATCCAGGGAAGAGAGCCCTTGGAAGTAGGGAACACTTCCCTTCCAATGATACTGTCGAGCTCTCAGCTGTACTGTTGGTGTAAGGGTGGAGTGGGGTGACCTTTCTGACTCCTTCAAGCCTTTGATTCTGTGGCTCGGTCATCTTTATCTCTGTGAGCACCTAAGTCTGGGCTGGCTGGTTATGGTGAAGTGCACAGACTCGGTAAAAGCAGACTCATGATCACGGATTGTGCTGTGACGGATACTTATGCGGTGGTCCTGTGGCCATAAGTAAATCCTAGAAATATTTCTGGATGTTTTCATCATGGAGGATCCAGGAAATCTGCCTTCTCGTTGGAGACGCTGAAGCTTACGTTGGATCACATGCACGCTCCTAAATCTCCTCCCTCAGAACCGTCCTGCGTGGATTGTTCCAATAAGCTGGACGTTTCGGAGTCGTTTATTTTCCATCTACAAGTAAATGTCATTTAGAATCTTAAACTGGAGGCATCCGAGACTGAGATTCTGTTGCCATGTCTGCTCCCTCCAGACCCCTCCATTCCATCCACCCTCCTGTCCCTCCTGTCTACCCTACACACACACCACACACACACACACACACACACACACACCACACACACACACACACACACACACACACACACACACACCTCCATTCCATCCACACTCCTGTCTGCCCTACACACACACACACACATACACACCACACACACACACACACACATCTCCATTCCATCCACACTCCTGTCTGCCCTACACACACACATACACACACCACACACACACCCACACACCCCTCCATTCCATCAGTGACAACCCTAGCCCTTGGGCCAAACCTTGAAGTCACATGTGACTTTTCCCTTCACAACTTACAGCCAAACTGCCAGAAAAACCTGTTGGTTCTACTTTCAGTTTACACCCAGAATCCGTTTCCACCCCCATGTTCTTCCAGGCTACCCGCCACCAAGACTCTCGCCACAATCTTCTAAGCCACCTCCCAGCTTCCTTCGTCCCCAGCAGGCAGTGGCGATGTTCTGAGTGATGACAGCGCTTCCATGCAGCTAGACATTTGCCAAAACTCACAGAGTACACTTAGACTGGCAAGAATCATATTTAAGTTGTATTATTGACAAAGCTAATTAAAATCAGTATTTGTTTAAAACTATGATTTTTTCATGCTTTTTTACGCTTTCCCATTTTGTTCAGAGTAAAATCCAAAGATCTTGTTGTGGCATTTAAGGTCCTATGTAATTAATCTCACACACACACACACACACACTCACACACATATTCACAGACACACACTCACACAGACACACTCACAGACAGATGGACAAACACACAAACTCATACATACTCACACATACACACCCAAACACACACATACACACAGATACACACATACAGACACACACATATACAGACACACACACACACAGATACACACAGACAGACAGACACACACACACACACACACACACACACACACACACCCTTCAACCCTTAGCCCTCAACTCTCTTACCACTTGCTTAGTCCTTTCCTTTTTTACTTTCTCTGCTCTAGCAGCACTATCTCCCCACTGTGACCCAACAGACATGAGTGCTCCCTGCAGGGTCTTGGTGCTCCCTGCAGGGTCTTGGTGCTCCCTGCAGGGTCTTGTCCATGTTGCTTCTTCTGTTATCTCAACAGACCTTCAGTTATCCGCTCTGTAGTAAGGCTTTTCTGGACCCTCCCGTTCATCCAGCCTGCCTTCTAGTAGAAGTGTTAAACAGCTACACTTAGTGCGATCGCCAACACACTTGGGTTTAAGCCCACCGTGTTGCTATTTATTTTCAATATATCCCATCTTTTCTCCACTTCTTTTGACCTCTTCTCCTGCCTTCTTTTATGTGAAGCAGAACAGGAGGTTTTTAACTCTCTGTTTTGCCTTTTATTGGCTGGTTAGCTCTTCTTTTTTCTTTCTTTCTTTTTTGTTTGTTTTTTGTTTTTCGAGACAGGGTTTCTCTGTGTAGTCCTGGCTGTCCTGGAACTCACTCTGTAGACCAGGCTGGCCTCGAACTCAGAAATCCGCCTGCCTCTGCCTCCCAAGTGCTGGGATTAAAGGCATGCGCCACTACCGCCTGGCCAGCTGGTTAGCTTTTCAAAGTCATGGTTATTTGTTTCTGTAGTTTCTCTACAAGTTATAATGTTCTCTGGAACTTACCAATGATATTTCTTAAAATAGGATTATAGCATTTCGTATATAGGAAAGAAACTTCAATCTACCCATCCTTCCTACCTGCCCGGCCTTTGTGCTATTCTTACGGTGCCTTAGTGTATCCCCACATGTGTTATGAACCTCGCACATTGTTGCTATTTTTTGGTTAAGTCAAATTTGTCTTTTCTGTGGAGAAAACTTGAAAGTACATAAGTGTGTGCGCACATAAGTGTGTCTTCTCTTCTCACTTTCTGTAACTCTAGCAATAAGAGAACTGTCTGATTATCCTCAGCATATTCACACATTTGCTCAATCCTCTTGTCAGGAGCCAGTACCTTGTCCACCCTGGAGCTGTCCCTGGTCTTACTGCCCCCGTGACCACCACCAGTAACACCAGGACTGAATCTTTACCTCAGTGATCCCACAGACCCTGCCGGAGCCAGCGATGAAGACCTAAGGGGGTTCCATGTCCTTGGCATAGAAGCAGAAGGCATGAGAAGATGGGCCCAGGGCTAGCAATCTGCTTAGCAGGTGTGACAGGAAGCGGGTGAGTGTGTCTACTGAGGATGCCCAAGGATGTGCCCTGGATATCGGGCAGCATGCTGAATTCAAATGACCGGAGGCCTGCCAAGCTAAAAATCAAAGAATGGTTAGCTCAGTGATTAAGTTATCTGGAGGGCCATTTCCAAATACCTGGCCAAATCTCTGATTATATCTGCACATGAAACAGGCTGCATGAGACCCAGTCCCACTGTGCCGTCCATTGTCAGGTATGTCACACCCGGGAGGATTGCCATTAAGCAGACATTTTCCAAACGGGAATTACAGGTGCTTCCCCTCCAGTAAATTTAAGTGCTCAGAGCTTTGGAGCAGGAAGCACGTGTGTACTATGCAGCCCAAGGATAATGCTGGCCCCCAGTCAACCGTCGTCAGGAAGCCAGGCTCCAGGCAAGCCCTGTGTCCCAAAATGACTCTGTCAGGATGAGAAAGCCCAGGCGAGACAGAGCCTTCTCCAGTTTCTGAGCAGGTACTGTGGAGTTCTAAGAAACCCATTGGAAATTGGGTAAATTAACATGTTAACAGAGAAGCCTAAACTGGGCCTGCCAACCCCAGAGACATTTCTGTATGTTCGAGAAATGGAATTCACCCGTGAAGAAAACCAGTGAAGCCATCAGTATGCCAAATCCACACGACAGAACCCTGCATGCATTGAAGGTGACATCTGCTGGGAGCCACCTTGCAGTGTACACGCCACCCTGTGTACACTATCTCTGAGAAATGGCAACAGTCAGTCACGATCTTCCTCAGCCATCTCTGCACCTACAAATGAGTGGGTGCTGCTTTCCTTCCAGTCAATAAAACTGCTCTGTCCACGATGAATGCCCCAAACTGCACTTTCGTCTCTTCCCTCCTTCTACATACATACAAACATGCATGCATACATATATACATACATACATACATTCATACATACATACATACACACACACATACATACATACATACATACACACATACACACATACATACACACACACATACATACATACACACATACATACATACATACATACACACATACATACATACACACACACATACATACACACATACACACATACATACATACACACATACATACATACACACATACATACATACATACACACATACATACATACACACATACATACATACATACACACATACATACATACACACATACATACACACACACACATCTGTCTCCCCAGTTTGTCACCCTCAATCCTTTTCAAGTTCTTTTCTAAAACCACGGAGAGTGGGAACAGCAGTAACCTCTCTGTTGCCCGGAGCCCTTGCTTAGCTGTCTCCTCCTAGTATCAAGAGCTGAGACCTTCACCAGTTGGTCCAAAAATGTTAAATTAGACCCCCTCCCCATTTTCCAAGGATAAAGCACTACATTAACTATGTGGGGGCTGGAGTAACAGTGCAGCAGATGAGGGCACCGGCTGCCCTAGCAGGAGACCAGGTTCAATCCCCAGAGCCCGCATGATGGCTCACAATTGTCTGTAACTCTAGCTCCAGAGGATCTGCCCTCCAAGAGCACCAGGCACACACATGGTGCACACACATACATGGAGGAAAAACAACACACACAAAATAAAAATGAATCCATCTCTAAGTACACGGCAATGATTATAGAAGCTGCTACAACATTCTCGAGAATGAGGAAAGGAAGTGGATCTTTGGGTGACCCAGCCCTGACAGTTTCCCCTGAAACCAGGTTGAGGTGCTCTCGGGAAGTCTCTGCTGCTTTTGTGTTCTCCACAGTCTGAGGATGCAGTGGTTGTTAAGGGAGCAAATGTCTGAAAGGGATGGACGTGTGCTCCATGCCAGGCTCACACAGGCATGCTGACACAGGCTTGTGATCCCAGCACGCAGGAGGCTGAGGCAGGATGATTACTGTGGTGCAAGGCCAACCTAGGATGCATACAATTTCAAGGATGACCTGAGAGGCATAACCTGCCTCAAAAAGAAAGAAAAAAGAAAAGGGGGCTGGGGTGGTGGCTTAGTCAGCCAAGTGCTGAGTTCAATCCTCATACCCCACGTTTAGAGGCTGGGTACGGTGGGCATGCTTGTAACTTCAGCATTAGAGGCAGAGGCAGGAGGACCATCCCTGAGGCTTGCTTGCCACTCACCCCAGCTTACTTGACAAGCTCCAGGTCAATGACAGACACCCCTTCTCCCAAAAACACTTTGTATGGGAGGATTTAAGAGTATCTGCGAAATGACACCATGATTGTCCTCTGACTTGCCCCCCCACACACACAAACACACATACACAGACACCTGTATATAAAGCTTAACTTATGTGTGTGAGCACATATAAATGGAATTGTGGGTATTCTTTTGTCTGCTTTATCATTTTTCTTGTTTTCAAACTTTTCTGTGATAAATGTGTATTGTTTTCCGGTAGGGTATTAAAGACTCACACAGCCGGCTTCCATTTTCCTCAGTTAACTGTGAGGTAGCAGGTGCATCCAGGCATGCTCGCTTGGTACAGGTGTCTTGGGAGAGCCTAGGGTCCACAGCAGTTGTCAGTTACTGGAGGCAGAGGTGATTCCACTGAAGAGAACCATCTCCTGGCAGTGCCCACCTGTTAATCTTGTTCAGGTCTTTGTCTCCTAAGTGAGACATTCAGCTCCATGATTGCTGTGGATTCCCAGTGGCTAATGTGTGGTTTAATTCTCTGTGGAATGAGTGGGCCAGGGCCTCTCTGGAACTTACTGAATGTGTATGAACACAGTGGATGGAATCAGGCAGAGATAAGGGCTTATACTTCCATTAAGAAGGTGAATGCACTCGGGAGGCAGAGGCAGGCGAATCTCCAACCAGGCCAGCCTGATTGGTCTATAGGACAGCTACGGTTCTTGCAAATGCTGGGATGTCAAGGCAGGACACCGTGTTTGTTCCCTTGTCCCCCAGCATTCTGCTATCCAGCACACATAGAGACAGGGTGGAAGTCATGATGGAGGAGGAGGCAAGAGCTACCACAGTATCAAAACACATACTGGAAAATACAAAAAAAAAAAAAAAAGAGCTACCGCAGAAGAAGGTAAGGGGAGCGGGTCCTCCCCCCAGATAGAGGGAGCATCAGAAGTGACATTGGGCTTCTGACACCTCAACTCACCCACCCAGGGACCTAGAGGAAAAGCTCAGGTCCGTGAAGCTGAGATCTAACACATGAGTACATACAGACTCACGGGGCCATCCCACTGTCATGGAAGAATGAATGGTGACTGCTCAAAGACATGCCTTTGTCCTGGTCCTTGGAAGTACAAGTATTATGTTGTATGGGCTTCCTATCTCTTCAGTTCTGGTCTTCACAGGGTTGAAGGTTCTGTTCTCTCAAAGTGGCTGAGATGATGCTGAGTGTGTTCCTGTACACGGGTGGAAGAGTTAAGAGAGAACTTGAGGGATAGAGAACCATTTCTCTTTTGTTGTACCAAAGTGTTTTATGTAAAGTTCATAGCCCTGGGTGACTTGGAGGCCACAGCCGCCAGCATCTTATATCTTATTCCCTGTGTGTCCCAGATCTTCCTTTTCTTTCTCTTGGTGCATTGGAAGAGGTAGGAAGAGCAGCTGTGTGTTTTCAAGGAGCAATGTGGGGCCATGAAAGGCTCTCCTGCAAGACAAACAGGCAGGCTCCTCACAGCAAGTCGTTCCTGAAAGCTTTTTGCACACCATTCAGGGACCTTATGCCACAGGCTCAATGAGGTCAAAGTCTCAGGCCCTTTGACTTCGTGAACCAGTGAGCTTGCTGTAGGGACCGAGTGGTCAGTGGAGAAGCAGTAAACCCGGAGGCCTGCAGAGGTTGACCAGATGGCTCGGAAGACAGCCCAGTTGATACCTGCTTAAATAGCCGGTCAGTGAGCAGCTGACAGGCAAAAGCAGCTTTGTAGACCCCCCCCCCAGGGCATCATGGGCTTTTACAGTCACCGGTCTGTTTGATCCTAACCACATCCCTTTGAGAGGGGCTCAAGTCTCCTTATTCTAGAGATGAGCTCACTGAGACTCAACAAGATTAAAGGCTCTTCCTGGGTCTCGAAGAGCAGGAGCCCAGTCTTCCTACCTGATGATCCTCTTTTGTTGGGCACATTTACAATCTAATAGAAATTTTCTCATCCAAGAACATTCACAGATAATCCTGAAAAGTGAGAATGGAAATGGAAATCTCTTGTGCTAGAAACTTTAGTCAGGAGATCGGAACTCATATTTCCCCTTCTGGGATTATTTTTACATATAATCCCATATCGGGATTGGTAAAAACAAAACAACAAACAAACAAACAACAACAAACTAAAACAAAGAAGAACCCTACCATCCAGTAGTGAGGATTAGGGTATAGGCTCTGAGTCTTAACCTGTGGAACTAGGTCTTCTCACTGTAGAATCAAAGACCCCGTGGGATCCCAGGAACCAGCAACTTCAGAAGGCATGGTCAAAACTAGCACAGGTTAGACCCCCAAGTCCTTGTGACAAAAGAACTCAAGCAGTGGGCTCTTGGTAAGGCCTCCAGCTTGCTCTGGTGAACCAGGGAAATCGCCTGACAAAGATGTCTCCCTGTGAGCTGCACCACAGGCAAGACACACTCACCTCACCACACAGGTACCCATGACACACTCACTTCTCTCTCAGTCTCTGTTTATATAAGTGTATGCATGCACAGACACACACACACAC